AACTTCATCACAGACCTACTGATGGAAATAACATTCACGTCGACTGAATTCTCGGGTATTGGTCTCCTTCCAGGAGGTCCACTTATCGACTTAGAATACGCAGATGATATAGTCCTGTTTGGTGAAGACGCTGATAAAATGCAGAGCCTTCTGGTGGCACTAAGCAACAATGCCAGAATGTTTGGAATGCACTTCTCTCCCTCTAAATGCAAGTTGTTGCTTCAGGACTGGTCTGCGTCAACAACTGAACTAAGGATAGGGAGTGTAGTCGAACGCGTTGACAACTTCACTTATCTTGGAAGTATGATCAGCCCTAATGGGTTGGTGCCTGACGAAATCTCAGCACGGATTCGAAAAGCTTGTTTGGCTTTTGCCAACTTACGTTACCTATGGCAAAGGCGAGATATCCGTCTATCAATAAAAGGACGAGTATACTGCGCGGCAGTCCGTTCTGTTTTAATTTATGGCAGCGAAACATGGCCATTAAGAATAGAAGACATTCGTAAGCTACTAGTATTTGACCACAGATATCTTAGAAATATTGCTGGCGTCTGCTGGGATTACCGGGTAAGTAATAGTGAGGTTCGACGCAGGGTATTAGGGAATAATGGTAAATCAGTTGATGAGGTTGTGAATCCTCATCGACTGAGATGGTTGGGCCACGTGTTACGTATGCCCGAACACCGATTAGCACGACGTGCAATGCTAACCGATGTTGGAGATGGTTGGAAGAAAATTAGGGGGGCGGCCTAACCAAAGCGTGGCATCAGTGCTTGAAGTCACTAACTTGTAGTCTGAGCCATGTTGGTAGATGCAGACTACCTGGTTGGGGTCCGCGTGACTATCGTACCCACTGGTTGGAGACTCTTGGTGACATGGCTCAGAATCGATCACAATGGCGTCGGTGTATACACTCCCTGTCTTCCCTTAACCTAAGAGATTAAAATCACTTCATATCTTTCTACTAACTAATTCTTTCTTCCTGTACTGTATCCTCATATGCAATCTTTCTCCTATATATTACCACCTCTGAATTAACCACTTATATGAATCCGGTGTCCATCTTGTTGTGTTAATGAGGTATGGCAACTTGGATCGATGCATATATGTGCCTGGTCTTATGTTGTGGCTGACTGACTGACTGAGATACTTTCTAGATTTAAACACAGTTCTATCATTTATTGGTGGGCTACAGCTTTCAATGTTGACTATTATATCTCACTTGAATAGTTCAAGTTTTTAATGCTTATTTAAAACTTAGATAACGTTTAGAAGATTAGAGAAGAGGCTCATAATTATGAAATAATAAAATCAAATAATTTATTGATCAATTTAAAGTAACCATAAAAGATCATCGACTTCACATTTACCAGTCGGTAAAATGTTTTATCATAACTATATTTTAATTAAACAATAGTTGAGTAATTAACAAAAATGCTTCCGAAATTCAAGTACTAGATGGTGACCAATAGATTAGACTTTTCAATGACACTTAACAGATTCATTCGCACAGATGTACATCGTCTATGCATGATGCTTTGAACTTGGAAAAATGTATCCAGAATACAAATATTTAGGGAAGTAATAAAAGTTAATAAATGTGCACAAGGGTTCAAATCAATTTCAAAACGAAGGCTAAAGAATAATGGAGTGGATTTTCTGAATGTTAACAAGACTTCACTCTAATCAGTAATAAAACATAACACAAGTTGTATTTCTTTCTCAATTCATTATGAATTAATATCTCATAAACACAAAACCAAAATAAGTATACAATTTTATAGTCAATAAGTTAGCTTTCTTATACTAAATATCAGTATAATGACATAAAGTGAAACATGACAATTTATGACAAATGTAAATTTAAACTGTTAAAATGTTTATGCATCGCTTCACATTGTATAGAAGATTGATAGCCAACAGTTGGCCACCCATCAATATTTTCCTTTTTCCTTAACTGTCTATACTATTTATCTGTTCGAATTCTTATCAATTCTTTAATTAGATTTGCTTTTTCAAAATCATAAAACCGAACTATTTATAATTTACCTACATATTTATACTTAACCATAGAAGTCTAAATGATCTGTGTAATGTACAGTCAAATCAAAGAACAAACAATGTTTTGACACATCACTTATAAGTTATGCATCATTTAATTTCTCAAATATTTCATAGACTTGACAACAGTGTGTTAATGAAATCAGGGATATAAATAGTATTCACTTCTAAACAATAAAACGTAAGCAAATAAACAGTTATGATAATAATACAATTCAATAAATAAACAAGTTTTTGTAATATACTTTATATGTCATTACAATTAACACTGTCTCTATTGTAATGAATTAAATGGGATAAAGATCTATTCCACCGGATCTAATTCAACCATGACTTGAATGTATGTACAGATTATAGTTATCTTAACTAACCGGAAAACTTATTTGGATAGGATAGTAAGCGAATGTATAAACTGTTGTTAAATTTCTTTTAACGCTGTTTGTTCACTTTATTATCTTATTCTAAACATTATCTGAGAGGTTAGCTAAAAAAGCATGATTTCATTATCTTATATTCTAGAAAATAACATTGGATAACATTCGTTGCAACTTACTTCTTCTTAGTTTTGAAAGATGCTTAGATCCGAAACACAGTCAGTGAACAGTTCAGGTTGAAAAACTTCACAGCATTTACAACAAATCACCAGTCACATCTCCATTTCAAACAAGAATATAATTAACGAAAATAAACTAGGCACTACCCTCAGGAAACAGATAGATCTTTCAATAAAAACACTAACAGATGAAAAATTGATTCGTTGTAATCCTGAGATAACACTAGTTGCGTAAAAGACTAAGTAAATGATTGATTACATTTCAAACTACTATTTAATGAAAAGTAGCATAACGCAAAGAACTAAATTATGACAAAGAGTGTAGGCATCAATGATGATGCAGTCTCATAAACTCTCAAACTTGTATAAAAAATTTGTGGAGATTGTAGAATTTTGTATTTTACATCATGCAATGAACCTATTTAAACAACTATTGTAAACCAGGTTGCACTAATATGCAGTTACCTACCGATGACATTGGACGATGGCTGAGTAATATATAGGATCAATCGAAGCTAGTAATGTAAACTGCTGAAAGCCAACTTAGTGGTCTGAATGTACCCAAAAGTTCTGAGCATAATCACTAGTTTGATCTTCGGTGCGCATTCGTAACGACCACACCAAATAAAGAGAAGGATAGTAGATAAAGTATCAATTACGGAAATTAGATCCTTTAATAAAATCTACGTTTCTGAGATTTCATAATTAAAGACGTACTAGAGATATTATTCTATGTAAGGTGATGATAAAAACCAATCAGTTTCTCAAATTCGTACTTCACTAGAAAAATATCTTACAAGTAACAAGTATTGAAACTATTTGAGGTAACGAAAGCTCAGATTCTAATAATAAATAAATCCACAAATAATTAAAATATTTGCTTACTTCATATCAAACACTTAATGTCAACATTTAGATCAATGAAACCGATGCTGTGAAAATACAAAAAATGTCATCACCAAGTGGTTTATACATCTAACTCTAGCAATTCAAAGATTAACTAACAAATAAAACCTCTGTCTTCAGTTCAAAGCCCAAACTAGATCTACACGACATGACTAAACATGATAACAATTCACTTTGACAAATTTAGTAATGTTAGTTGATATCAGTAGAATTTGTATCCTTATATTATTAAAAAAGAACAAAATAATAAAACACTCAACTCAACTATGGACAGAACGAGATTTCATTGAGTATAATTTCAACCACTTTTGTTGCTGATTGGGCGATAAATTAAGTTTCTCAAAACTGTTTTGATTAATCTCAGTCGCTAACTGTTAATATCATGGTCATAGAATGTGAGAAATTTATTAGATGATTGAGAAATTTATGGTTCATGCTGTCATCTAGTATCGAACTTGAATTGAAATACAAATCATGACTAACGATGGGAATGAGAAAAAAAACTAATCCAAAAGTTTATTGGAAATAAGAACCCGCTTAAGTAAGACAAGAACACAGAACTAGGAAGTAGTGGACAGCTGATTTGTCCAATATGAGACTCCTCAAAAATAGTGCGCATCTAGAAACTCTTTAGAGGATCAAAACTACAATCATCAAAACTGGCAGGGAGTGCTTAATCTTTAAACTACTGAGACAACAACCGACGGTCTACGTGTTTAACTTCAAACAACTTGTGGTGTTCGACATCACACTTCATACGATAACAGTTATATCGATAAATTGAATACAAAAAGTCGAATAAAGAATACTAACGAAAATCACACGTAGAAATGATTATTTCCTCTTTCTCTTTTAAAATATATAAACAAATAGAAAACCGAAGAAAAACAACGATACAAACAAAATTCAAAACAACAAAATTGAAATGTTGGCAGGAAAGTTGAGAATACACTTTTTGAAAAAAAAAACAGAAATACAAAAAAAGTGAAAAATAGTCTTATCCGCACACACACACATACATATATACTGGCAAGTAAAAAAAATACAAAAAGGTGCAAAACGGAATATAATATTAGTCAAATAATTTACTATATATATATATATATAGTTCTATCTATCACAGTCAACAATATCCACTCGTATTTTCGGTTAAAATAAATGAGGAATGAACAGAAAAAAATATATGAGGTTAAGGAAATGGAAAAAATGGTTTGGTTTCTTATCATCATCATGAAGTTCAGAAATGATGATGAATGTTATTGTCAGTTTAAAGTTTATTCTACGACAAAAGAAAATCTATTTCTTCTTTTAATGAATCAGCCATTTTTCCAGCTAAATTACAATAATACATAGCAGCTTCATGATGACCAAGTTTTATTAGAAATGAACCGAATTCCAAAAATATTGACTCGTAAAATGATTCTGTATTTTAAAAAAATGTAACCGAAATATTAATCAGTACAGAATTATTCTTACTATGAATTTATTATGGTAAATATTGTGACTTATAAAATGTTAATTATGTAATAAATATGATATTGGCAAATCTGAAAATTATAGTATCATAATTATATACATATATAAACTATCAAATCAAAATCAATTTTGTGCTGATTTCCACAGTTAGAATCCTTTCACACTAGTGAATATCAAGAAATGCGAACATAGTTCATGATATCAGCATAAGGTACCGAAAATCATAACTTATTTTATACTTTGTTATGTTCACCACTTGATTAACGCAGAATACGGTATACAACTACGGCACTCGAAAGTTTAGAACCCCAGTCTCAAAATCAGAAGACAGAAGAAGAAGTGTTTGCTGGATAAGAATCAAATGTACAGAAAATCATGGGTATTTATAGATATTAGCGTTTGTTATAACATCATCACAATTCAACCAATCCGAAAAGAGGTAAGTTATGCTACTGTTCAATCTTAGTATGCCACGTTGATATCCCAGAAGGTTCTATTGGTTCTGATTTGACGGAATCCCTTAGATTCTCTGGCAGCTTTGTCGTGTTTTTAGGATACCAACTATTTTCTTTAACATGGTGATTCAAAAATCATTCTAATAAAACAACTTCACTTTGATAACAGGAAGATCAAAATTAATGTCAAATGCTAATCTATCGAAACATGCTAAAATAGATCAGATTACACAGTTTAATATATAGAACAATATGAAATGTTTTACAACACATAAACGATCTTGAATTCCTCCTCTCTTAAATAAAAATAAAACGAAGACTAACATTAAACAGGCGAATGCAGTGGTATAACAATTCATCAAATTAAAGTCTTCATATTTTTTAAACTAAGTAAGAAGTTATGTAATTGATTGGACAGATTAAAAGGTTTATAACTTACACCAACTATGTGTACAGATTTAAAATATATAATACATATTCTTACCATTTATCATTTGAATTGAATAATACAAGTCTAAAATTTCATTGTTAATTGAGTAAGTGAAATTTATATCAACAAACACTGTTCATCACAAGCTTAATTCCTTGATTACACATGCACCAAACAAATAAGAAAAGATTTCTAAACGAAATGTCTATATTAGAGAGAATAATAATAATCCCAATTTATTAAAACAAAAAAACAAAATACTTACCTGTTTCTTTAGTTGTATTCAATAAGCTTAATTCACGGCATGCTTCCAGGTATCTAGCTGCCAACTGATATTGTTTAAGATTAAAAAGTAACTTTAAGACATTAGAATGATCTTCTAAATAAACATAAATGAGTATAGCTAAATCCTTCAAGATGTTTTTTTAAAAAAAAAGAGGAAAGAAAGAGAAAACAAAATAGTCATATTATTGTTACTATAAACATTGAAAATATAAACAGTAAGTTATAGAAAGGTAATTATTATAATCATAACACTTTTGTTCAGTGGACTATAGATTACAGATAGCTAATAGATATAGATTGACCTAAATCACAGTGATTTGTAACAGTGCATTAAGATTGGAGCGTGATAGTAAGAAAAATGTAGTATAACTTATGATTGCAATGATTATTGATATTGAGTAGGAGACTGCTTTTATATTCGTGTTACACAGGCGAAGATGCAATAGGTTCAGAGTAAAAACATTTAAGTGTTGAACTGATGTTGATCACTTGAAATATTGAAGTTGAAAATCTAAAAGAAGTGCTTGTAATAATCATCGTAATTTTTTCAAATCATTAGTTACAGTTACAAATTTAGAAGGAGACTCTACTTACAGAAAAGATTATGGTTGTAAAGTACACAAAAGAATTCGAAAGATATAGACTCAAAATTAGATTTTAAAAATGTGATTCTTAATAGATAAAAGCAAGAACTATCTCTTGATATTCAGTCATCCTTCAACTGATGAATAAGCAGTAAACTATTGCATGAAAAATCAACCAATTAAGAATCATGAAGGTGATGAGCGAATGTATTGATGACGAAATAATTCGTGAATAATAACTGTCAATCAAGTTTTATTAATGATTTACTAGCAGATAAAAACACTATTTACGACACGTAAATAACAATTAAACATACATATGAAGTGACAGTAATTTGTTTGTTTTCTTTTTAAATAACTCCGAATAGTTAGAGGAAGTAAACAAAGAGCGTATACTACATTACTACGCATCATCATAACTCTAGGTTGGTGATTATCAATGAAATATAAATAGACGAAGGTGATATTTACTTAATTTTAATAGTATAAGACGTATATTTTTCAAGTTTAGTTACACTTATAATGATTCATACAACTTAGAGCTTGATTTAGCTATACGAGCATATAGTCCCTTATTGAAAACGTAGAAGACCAATATTAAGCGATATAAGTAGGAAAAAATAAGAATAATGAACTGAATATTGTATTTGATCAATTAGTACTTCCAAACTGTGAATACAAATGGGGAGAAATGTAGTCCTGGAGAGGAATGTTTGATATACACAAGCAAACATGTCGAATCTAAAGTATTTACGTATATATTATGCTAATACCAAATACGTTATTTAGTGTTTCAACATTCCGAGTTAACTATCACCAACATACATTTATAATACTTGTAATTCTACTGAACCAAATATTAGGAAAAGATAATGATGTCTAGGCACGTGCTGTTTTGTTTATCGTCCTATATTAAAATATGAGGACAAATATTTGAATATCCGGAGAAAACAAACAGTTGAAAAAGTGTTTTAGTGAAAACAACTAATTTTCGACACTCAAATATCATAAACAGAAGGGAAAATTAACTAAACATGAGTAAATAATTGGAACACCCTAGATAGACGTGCCACATTGAAATACATAATTGTCAAGGTACATTTCAATGAAAATGAATAACTGAAAACAAATCTGGACATACTTTTCGATTAACCTGAGATGAAGCTAAATAGGACGCCCAACGTCTCATTACTTTATCATGTTCTTCAATTGATAATGTACACTGAAAAAAAGCAGGCGGAAGTGAGAACAGTAAATGATAACGGACACTAAAAAAGGAACACGATAATTAAAAAATGATAGTCTAGTGATAAGCAAGTAATAAATATAGTATTCTATTTTATTCAATATACATATCTTCTGGTACAACTGGGTGCCAACAACAGAAAAGTGGCACCCAAATACAACGATAAGATTATGGACGAATAGGGAAGAAGGGTGTACAACCAAACAGATCAGTGAACGAGAACGATACATGATAGGAGATATAGTTCAGTTGGAAACAAAACTATAAGAAATATTTTTAGCTAAGAGAGTTCCTCTTACTTTTATGATGATTGTAAAAAGAACTACGATAACATCACTGCTGAGTTTCCTCATCTCTAGGATCTCAGCCAGAGAGTGGTGATGAATTAACAGACACAAGTCTTACACAGCTTTCTATCATATACCAGTGCCATTTCATAAACTCTCCACCTCTTCGCTTTTTCCACCCAGTCCTAAAGTCGTGAATCAACGCGCTAAGTAAAAGCTATTATGATGATATTCATAATACATATTCAATCCACCGAGCCCAATATTTTAAGACAATGACATTAAGTGAACTATCGCAACTGGACTCGAACAAAATACCCACTATCCATTTCAGAATCTATAAAAAATTGATTTTCATCTTATTAATTCAATAACTCCTTACAATAAAACGTATAACTTAGTGTATAATAATATGAACTAGATGAAATAAGTCAGGAATAGAAAACGTAATCTAAGACAAACATTCGGACATAGTTATCAATACTAAATAATGTCAAAGAAAAAAACAAACAAGAAAGAATCAGAGTTCATGTACAGGTATTTTGTTAAGGAACAAAGAAATTAGTAAAAATGTGAAACTTTTTGAAAGTTATTGTTCAATAGATATCATTTAGTATATAGTTTTTAATGGTGTATTTATTAAGTAACTAATTCATAATATTCCCATTACATCTGACTTATTAACTGTTACAATATATCTTGATATTTAGAAATTACAGTTAATTATAAATCTGTTTGTTTAGATTTTATATTACAAACATTGTTTGTTTGTTGAAATTCGTCATTTATTAGTAGTTGTAGGTAAGACTACAATTTATGGAGGACCTTTGAACAACACTAAAATGACCTTGGAATGTACACTTACCAAGGTTAAATGACGGTTATATATTGGTGTGAGGAATTAGGATTAGAATTTGTAGTTGAATGTTAGGGTTATGAATTAAATTTAATGTTTTCATCATGAATTAACATTAGCTAGAATGCCAAAATGGTATTTAGCCAAATGAGTAAATGAATTTTGCTCCAAAATCCAAGATCATTTATCTTAAATCTGATTTGTTCATCCATAAATTCTAGTCTCGCCTAATAATAATTTTTCCGAAGTTCTGACGAATGTTGCATATCCTGTCAAGAGTTAACGTATTACAATGCTAAAATTAGCGGATTTATTATTGGTTAGTATGTGTTAGAAGCACAAAACATTTGTTTTAATGAAAGACTTATCACCTAACTTCATTTAGATCAGATTTCTAAGACAGTACTCAGTACTTTTAAGTTAGTGTAGGAAAATATCCTCCTCTTATTGTTAATACATTAAAAGTTTGTGACAGAAATTATCATCAGAAGGAATTATTGTATCAATAAAATTAACTGTCAATATTATACGGTTGAAAATGATCAAATATATAAAATAACTACCTTAGCTAACCATACAGAACGATCCCATCGATCGAACGATTCTAAGTAACGGCATGCATCAACTTGTAAGCCAATAAGACACAATAAACCAATACCATCATTAATTTTTCCATTAGAAAGTAAATTTGTAGCAACTAATTTTATTACACTTAAATAATTATCTTCTGCTGGTTGATTTACGCTAGACTCGGACAGAAGAGATTTTCTAGCAATATTTGCCGTAAACAAACAAGCACGATACATATTTATAGAATAATTACTTGAATCTGCAGGTGTTTCCAGTAGTAAAGAAACTGCACGATCCTGTTGACCTAAATTAAAATTAGTTAATTATCGTTACTTCAATCATAAAATTGCAGATAACTAAAATTATAATTATAATAATTAATAGTTTGGTTTTTAAAAAGCAAGACTGATAAAGCTAAACTATATTTCCAAACCAATCAGGATCGAACGAGCGAGTTTATGGTCATGGTAGAATCATCAATCTAGAGTGACGTTCATCGAGCCATTTCAGACTAAGATGTTGACTGTAGACTATCCAATGAGCAATTTTAGTGATTTAAACATCATGAAGTTACAGGGGTCGTGGAAGCGCGATTTCGAAGACTCACATACTAGCACGAAATGTTCATCCTGTGTTTTCAGAATTTTATTGGTTGTCTAACTTAAATCGGTTTGAGATATCAATGAAATTCGACAATCATAACCCTGATTAATTGCAGTCGGGAAGATCCAAACAACCAATACAAATAAATAGAAATTCACCCGTTGCACAAACCAGTGGCTATCAGGACTCAGCAATTAGATAGGTAACACTATGGAGTTTTGAGCAAACGTAACTGGATTTGAGTCTTGAAGTGAACATCTACTCGGATGCGGGTGTATCCAGTCGATGAATCACAAATAGGACGAAACGTGCGTCCTGGATTCTCCTGTTAGCCACCATCTATTGCTGCTTATAGGACTTATGATTTAATGGCATTATCGAGGTAATCTACACAGGATGTAAACATGCGAAAAAAAAGACTAACTAATTGCAATCAAAAACACCAATACAAATAAATTGATAACCATATGCTGATACTTACGATAAGTTGGATTGTTGAGGGCAAAATTCACTTATGAATGCAGGAATGAAATGAATGTAAATAAGTTTAAGAGAACTGATATTTCATCCAAGTGTTTGTTAGTGTTAGGATTATCAAGTTCCCAACAAATTCCATTCTCATTAGGAAACTTGTAATTGGCACTTTACATGGTTACAATCGGAAACCTGGACGTAGTCGCTTATATATATATATATATATATATATATATATATATATATATATATATATATATATATATATATATATAGCAAATGAAACCATTTATATGGGTTTTGAAAAGCTGCTATAAATATAGTACAGGGTTTGCACAATTCTATCACGAAGCAAATACGCCTCTACTAAGAAGTCGTTTTATGTGGAACAGTGACGCACCTACACATAGATATTGGTACAAGGAGGCACCAGATGCATATGCGCCACACAAATCTCATTTATGTGAGGGGTGTGATATTGCCCGAGTGCCCAAACCGAAGCAGGTGGTTTTCTTAAAAGACCACACCCGGAGCCTTCGGCCTGAAGGTCTGATCCACAAGGCAGTGGAGCATCGTAAGGAGATGCAGTCCCATGGTAGCCGGTGACCAAAAATTGGTTCATACGCCATTTGTTCCCGCAGGATACTGGAGCCCATGTGCACCAGTGGTTTGGGATCCGGTTAAGGCGCCGGACATTCGCTTTTCGTCCTCTCAATTTCGTAAACAACACCCTCACTACGAGAAGGCAGTGAGTAGGACTTCCCTGGCAGAGGTTATATACGCGTGGCCATGTGAGAGCATTTCGAGAGGGAGAGCGAACTCCCCCACTCTCGGCCGTACCAGGGCATTTGGGGGATGACGCACCTACTGCAGTAAACGGAAATTAAATTAGACCAAAATTCGTAAAACACGACCGTATAGCAGAGATAGGACATGGTCGTCAATTTACCACTTTAAGTCTGTTGGCAGTACATACTGATGTAGCTAATAAATATTAGAAATGCAATCGTCCTTAAATGTTGTCAGTCTGCTTTTCCCACGCAGAGGCGGCTTCCTACAGAACTTATGCGATGAGGACAGTGGTAACTTTTAAAATATTGAGTAACATAGAAACCAAATTGCGAACATGTAGAATCAAGGAAAGATGAGTAAGACTCTTACGACACCCCGTTTTGTCTGGATAATAGGTAGAGAATAAATCCCAACGACAATGATAAAGATGTAAGGAATTCCTAACAACCGTCATGTGGACAGAGCGATAGTAGACTTTGATGGACAATGCGTTCTCAAACCTAGCAAGTTACTGTTGTCAAATAGTAGATCAGTAAGTGTGAAAATAGGGAAATAACGATTCGGTACAATATAATAAATATATTCTTTTAGGAGCAATTATCAATGTGTAACTGACAACTACTGACAATAAGCTAAACCTCTAAACACTTCGCTAAACCTGTCTATGCTGCCACGTTTACTGAAACCGAAACCTTAGTCAAATTAATACTCACCGACCATAATCAGTGTATTAACACAATCCATAATTTCAGTAGGTGAATTATGCGGCTTTTCCATATATGATATAAACTTTTCAACATTCTGACGATATAAATCACAGTCAGCTAAAAAATCCCAAGATAAATCTAAAAAATACCGAGACCATAACTGGTTATTTAATTGTTGTGGATTGTGATGTAAAGCTTTTTTGTATAGTAAACGATTTGCAACCAATCGCCAAAATTTTACTTCATATACATCACCAAATAATTGAGCAGTCCATAAACAACGTTCAATAATGGTAGTATTCGACAGGTTCATAAAACTGGTAGATAATTCATGTCTACAATGTAAGTGGACAAAGAAACTGGTGTGAGATATTGTCAAGAAAAATTTGTATGATGTTCAATTTACTAAACAGTTTCGATCTAAGTGACACACTGTTTATCATCGTTACGGTATACTTACAATGTTGAAATCAAAAGCCACATTAGTTGATAAGAACTAAACGACTCAACTAGTAGGCAAGTTCAAACTCTACACAATTCTTGCTCATCACACCAGAAATATTTTTATACTTCTTTATAATATGTCTACAAATCACTAAATCTTGTACGCCTTTTCCAAACTAAATCACAAGGTCCATCATACTTCAAGTCAATTGAAAAATGTAGACAATTAGTACCACAAATAAATGAACAAAATATAGGTAGAAGCTAGTCACAATCCATAATTCTATAATAAAAAGTAATGCATGTGTTGATGGTTTATACTTTAATCAACGTCTTACAAACTAAGTATCCATAAATCTTGAATTTCAATAAAAACCTATTGGTAGGCTAATTTCTAACTTACCACACTGTAACCGGAGCAAAACTCAACACATGTAACGTATAGAGATTTGGCACAAAATATCACATTTCGCAGCTATCAGTCACTTTATATCACAAAAGAACACACTGGTAGAATAATTGTGTTATAGATAGGCTAAGTGTAATAAAATATCTTATTTCAACTAGGTACAAAAACTTGTTGTTAAGTCCTAAACGACGACGGGCATGAAGTCCAAAAGATTGCAGAAACTAATTCAAATTGTAATCTCTGTATGGACACAGAACTGTAATAACTAGAGACCAAAAGAAAACATACACTAACAATCTCCAAATAACATTAAGTTACGTATCGTAACATAAGAAAAGACTAATCACAATAAGGTATTCTGAGACATGGAAAACCATTCTAATAAACTCTAGTTAACCTCATAGGTACTAAGAGGAAATATCAATGGTGGAATCAAATGATTTATTTAAACCTTGATGTCTAGCACTACTACTGGAACTTCACCAATTAAAAAAAACGCTTTTACGTCACATATCTTGAACGTTGAGTATTACTAATAGCACAGAAGATCAACAGATGTTATGTGCTGTATCCTCGTTCATCGATATGTGAATATCTGGTTCGTACTACAGGAGAGAAAATGTAGCAAGTGACATAGGTCTTTCGGTAACCAACATATCAGAGGTCATGTAAGTGCTGCCGTAATCAAAGCAATTAACGTGTCCAACTAATGGTATATGTGAAGAAATCAAGTCAAACATTCCATGAAAAGGAGACCTATCACCATATTATCAATTGTTACTTAATCCAGCAATAAATGTACGTAAGATGAAAGTTTATTAAAATGAAAATGCGGAAAAAATTTGGTCACAAGTATACCTTGTTTTGAGGCCATATAGGAATATATTTACAGAATTCTGAATCTTTGCAAAACCAGGAGCAAGCAGAGAACAGTCACTACTAGAATAAGAGCTTTGGTCTGATTCAGTATTAGCTATGGTAGTCTGATCGCATGTTAACGCTTGAGAACTAGAAGCTATATCAATCAATAAATTCTCATTTTTAATCGAAGGGATATTTTGAGACTTTTTACACCACGGTTGATGTTGTAAGAGATGTCGAATATTTAGGGCAGTGATGGATGGAAGTAACGACGGGACTAAAACAGGATCTAAAATGAAAAAGTAAAACTTTAAGTGTAAACAAACTTAGATTAAACAAAAATTCTTAGTGAACCTTTTAAGTGGAGTTGGATGGTGACTAACAATGGAATCCAGAACGCACATTTCATCCTATTTGAGATTCGTCAGCTGGATACACCTGTAACCGATTTGATGTTTACTTCAAGAATCGAATCCAGTACCGTTTACTCCAAACCCCGTAGTGTTACCTATTTAATTAGAGTCCAAATAGCCACTGGTTTGTGCAACGGGGTGAATTTCTATTTATTTGTATTGGTTGTTTCAATCTTATTATTGATGGCTTAGGACTACAACCTAACAGTCCTTCTTTGCTTTATGTAAATCGCCTCGATATTACCATTAAGTTACAACCACTTTTTATAGTGAACTATCATAGAAATGAACAGAAACATACAAAATTTAATAACAATAAACCAACTTAAATACTAAGCTAAGATGTACACTTATGTAAAGAACGTCTAAAATAATACTGTGTTTCAGACAGCTAAATAAATGCTCATTATCAAAAAGATTGAACAAGTTCAGGGATGCTTATAAACGAGTTTACGTATTTAACAACATAAATGAAGAGTTGAATTTTACAATTTATTAATAAATTTGCGCAAAGCTTAAATAAACTTTCTTAGTTCGAAAGTAAACATTTGTTCATCATAATAGTTGAAATAGATAAACCTGAAAAAGAACAACAACCAGACGTAAATCAATGAAATGAATCAGTCATTAGTTTAACTAACTGTTAAGATAGACTTATATTACTACTTCAATTCTAATTGTAATAACAAAGACTTGTTTAATCTTCAAGAAAAAACAAGATTCAGTTGGACCTATCTATAAAAAAACATAGAATTAATTCACCACTCTAAATTGTTAAGATCTTACGAATGGAGATAGAACACTGAGCTCGAAAGACAAGAAAACATAACAGAACTAAATGGACAAAGTTTGCCTAGATTCTATTTCGTAAAACGTTACATGAGGTAACATATTTATTTGTAATATCCACACACTTGATTAATGTATGCAGTTTAGATTATGTGAATACAGAATTTTATCAAACCTTCACCTATCATTTTGAAATAGATGAATACACTTATGTTTAAATTGTAATTACCAAGTTCAGTGCGTGTGTAGATGAGTTAGCCATATAGAAAAAGGGTAATTATTGAGGTGATCTTTTGGAGAAAAAAAAACAACTTTTAAAAATGATAATGCTATTTGTTTGTTCCATTCGTACCCACAACTCTGCCCAATCTGATACAAACTTTTTCGCCTTCCCTTTTTAACCAGAATTTTTATAACTAGCTTCAATTGCCTCATAATCTCAACTACTGAAATTACTATAATATCCACAAAAACCCCCTCTGATAATTTTATAACTATCATCATAATGTTTACAGTAATTTTAAATCGTTGTGACAGGTAACAACTTGAACGAGAAGCCCATAATTGTATTTTATGTTCTTACGTCTCTATGTAAACGACCTGATAGATAGTCAACATTCGCTTAGTTACAGAATCGACGGTAAAAACATAAAGAGTGGGTCTATGAAATACAGTCGATGAACAAATAATTCTATCAGTTTAAGTACTTGCTTGCAACGTAAGCACATGACTTATTGAAGGTTAGTATGGGTTTATAAATATGAGAAAAACCAAGGAATTCAAAATATAAACCCTTTAATAAACATCATATAGGCGGGAAAAGTATACTCTTTAACATCATGTGTAACATGGACTAAAAAAACTTGAGCGAACATCGATATAAACACTGTTTTATTTTCCACCTAAAATAATGGAGTTAACTGAAACCTATACCGTACGTGTAACCATCAACAGCTCCACACAAAATCCACATATTCCTAATCCTCCAAAAAGAAAACCAGAAATCCAAAGGAATGCTAATCGGAAGTATATCTAATTTAGACCAACGAACCACGTGGGTAAGTAATTAAAACGCGAAAGCAAAACATACTATAAATAATGAGTCAGCTAAGGTATTTTTGACATGAAGAAATATATGCAATAAGTTAATTCACTGTAATTTATGAATATACAGAGATATAATATCAACTACTAAGTCAAAAAATAGGATTGTAAAAACATTATAAACCAATTATTTGACAAATACACACTAACTAATTCACCAAAAAATAGCTTTTCGAGCTTTATAATTTTCTTTCCTTACTTTCTGCCAATATAATACTTACGTTTTTATAAGCGACTAACGTATTGATTTGATAACCCATAGATTTCGACATTAGTATGTGAACCTATATGTAACAGTGTGGCAAACTCTAGGGTTTTTATTCACAAAGGATTGACTAATTTTGTTTCACGATTATGCGTTTTAATGTACTTAGAAATACTCAATATGAAAGGTCCGAAATCGTTTTTCTTAAGAAAACAAATCATGAGTATATAAGCATATTGGTTAATTACCTTGAATGTCAGGTCTATCTGGCAATGGACTCTGAATGTAAAATTTTGAAATCGGATCTTGTAAAGTAGTTCCACGAGTAATTGTATTCCCAAGGTTTACTGACTGATTAGAATAATTAACAACTGTCATTTCATAATTAGCTTGACCAGCTTGTACAAGTCGTAAAGCACCATCTCCACCCAAAAGAATACACAAAGCTCTATCTGATAATTTAGTAACAACAGAAACCCAATCAGCACAAATTAAGGAATGATGAACTGATACACCGAATTCAATCATACATAAAAGGAGCATCTGCAAGAAATGTAAAATCATGCATAGAGTGTTATGATATATAATTCAACCCTACAGAAATGCTTACAATATACATGGAGACAATACGAAATTTCAATTAGAAGATTATGCTTGATTATTAATTGGTAAGTATATCATCAATACATATGTACTGTCTACCTGGTTAGTAAAATTAAAATATGGAGTAAATAAGAACACTGATACGCTCAGTTTTACTTTACAGCAATGAGTTCACAGTTTGTCGCCGTCACACACGATAATATACCATATATTAAGAAAGCAAAACTAAGACAATTCCAATTTTAAGAAACGGAATCGAAATTTCAACTCCATACACACATATGACAGGATGACAAAAAAAGAAAATAAGACGAAGTTCAGTGGAGACGCTCTACAGAAATAACGCTTTTTAAGAGATTAAAAGAAAGCTGAAAGTCTACACAAAATAAAGTTGTTTCAAGGTACGCGTTACTTTACAAAAAGTAACTGGATTGTTTATTCTTGCGTGATGAATTAAAACGACTATTCAGCTAACGGGTGTGGTTTTTAAAAAACCATTTGGACATAGAGAATATTAGCATAAAAGCTACAATAACAAAATATTTTCCACCACTACCTTTATTCGCTTTTTTTTCTGTAAAATAAATCGCTACCAATTAATGCTACTCAAGTAGTTGTCAGTTATTATCCCAATTTCATACGTTCACCTACCCTTTCTTTCGTCCGTTTTTATTAAATTTTATCAATCATCTTATAATGAACTGATAAGAAAATTAAACCATGTAGACTAACTTACCTGTCTTGGTTCCCAAACACATACGGAATCAAACTGCAAACTAAGAAGACGAGTAAAAGTCGATAAACCCGGTGTAAAACATAAACGTCGAATATTCAATGAAGGATGTACAACAGAAGTATTTGTTTCTAACATTATATCTGGGTCGAAATATTGTTCATTAAAAGAACCAAGGGCTTGATCAAAATAATTTGATTGTGACTTTGAACAAGTTGTTCTAAACAATGTTCTTTTACTATGTAAATCTCGAACAGCTACAAAACCATCTAAAGTGCCAAAAGCAACCAAATCAGAGAACCAAGCAACTGAATTAATTCGATTTAAACTAACAGTTGGTAGACCGTTTAAACTATAATTTTACAAATAAAAACGTAGAAAATGTGTTGGCAATTATGTGATAAACTAAAATAATAATAAACCATATTAAATGTAAAATGATTTGAAACTAAAAAATAATAACTAATTGATGCGTTTTCTGCTTGCTTACTTACTTACCCCTTGTTGGAGATGATAGATCCCCAGAAATTACTTCCTAAACGTCTCATTTTTGTAATTTTATTTTGTAAATTTGAATTTCTCATTTTCGCGCCAAGAGTGCAAACTTTACCTTCAGTTTGTAGTTCCCAGTTGGAAGGACCTTAAATTTCATTGATTCGTTTCCTTTTTTAGTACGCTATTCTGAAGTTTACCAAGAACATTTTTGTACAGTAGATATACGTCTGAGTTATGTGTCTGTTCATTCGTGCTCCTGACTGCTTGTTGAATATACACATCCCTTGGTTGAATCTGGCTTTCTCCATCTAGTTAGAGCGCAAGGGAGCAATGGAATAGCCTGGCTTGCCCCATTGTGTTGTTGAAATTCGTCTACTACGCCGATTTTAGGTGATATCGTAATCTCTTCAAATATAGCACCCACCTAATTACTTACATTTGTTACCACTCGTGGAGGAACATAGGCCGCCCAACAACACTCTCCATCCAACCCTGTCCTGGGCAATCCTTTCCACTTGTTATTCATCCTTTTCATTTCTACTTCCAATTCCCGATACAATGTATTCTCAGGCCTTCCTCTTTTCTGTTTCCCTTCAGGATTCCAAGTCAGAGCTTACCTCATGATGCAGTTTGATGATTTCCTCAATGTTTGTTTTACCCACTTCCAACAACTTTTCTTAATTTCTTCCCAGTTGGAAGTTGGTGTGTTCTCCCCCATAGTCGGCTGTTGCTGATGGTGTCCAGTCAATGGACATTCAGTATCTTACGCAGACAATTGTTTATAAATACTTGTACCTTTTTGATGATGGCTGTAGTAGTTCTTCAGGTTTCAGCTTCGTGCAGTAGAACTAACTGTTTTGACGTTCGTATTGAATATCCTGACTTTGATGTTGGCTGATAGTTGTTTTGAGATCTATATTTTCTTTAACTTTAGGAATGCTGTTCTTGCTTTGCCGATCCTCGCCTTTACGTCTACGTCTGCATCGGATCCTCCTTGTTCATCGATGATACTTCCCAGGTACATGAAAGATTTCACATCTCCCAGAGCCTCTCCATCAAGTGAGATTGGATTGTTCTCCGTGTTGCATTCGAGGATCTTGGTTTTCCCCTTGTGTATGTTGAGGCCTATTACTTCAGAAGCTACTGCTAGACTAGCTGTCTTCATCTGCATTTGTTCGTGTGTATGGGATAGAATGGCCAGGTCATCTGCGAAGTTCAACTCTTCTAGTTGATTCCGAGCTGTCCATTGCAATCCATGCATGCCCTGAAATGTGGGTTTTATGTAATTCAGTCAACCACTAGATAAAAGAGAATGTGAGAGAGTAAGCAGCTTTGTTTGACATCGGTCTTCACCTGGGATGCAATGTGAGCTGCCCTGAGTTCTTTATTAAATTGTATTATTAAGAAAAAAATTGGCGTCCAAAAATCGGACGATAAAGTATCTGAAATAAACGAAATGTATTGTACAGTCCAAACGAATACCTAACTATGATGTAAATAATCCAAATTTACGGTTTACTTTTGACAGAGTGAAGTAAACATACCACACAATTGACGAACTCGAGAGGGCGAAAAGTTTAATTAACTATCGTATATATTTAGAATGTTTTTAAACAGAGATAATGACAATTCCTACAATATAGTCAAATGTTAGGCAAATGGAGTTATTCGACAGGAAACTGTTCTGTTTCCAACCACCTGGCATCTCAACATAGTGCACGCGACATCACGTTTTTTAAACCGTTAACTAAACTGCATCTTGATCAACTGAATTCAACAGGCACTAAGACCTAGAAAAACATGGCACCGGTTGGAAATTAGTGATAAATCAACTGATAGTCAAATACGTATCCATGAATTCAACTACTGGGTAGTGTTTTATCTCACAAAAATTTTTAGAAGGACATAAAGAATAAAATCTATAGGGATAAGATAATGGTAGACAACCTCATGAGTACACATAATCCCACGTATAACACATTATAAAGACTCGTCGATTTCAAGATACTCCCTGACTATATATGTGGTATAATATTCTAGTTGTTTAATTAAATTTGAAATGGTTTTGAATTATTGCGTTGTTGAATGGCTATTATGATTGGCTATCTGGACTCAGCAGCTAAGTGGATAACGCAATGGCATTTGAAGCGAATGGCACAAAATTTAAGATCCTCAGTAAATATCAACTCTGGGATCCAGGTATATCCAAATAACGGGTTCTAAATAGGACGGAACGTACGTTCTGGATTTTAATGCTAACCACATTCCATCTATTCTATATTCTAGTTGTGTTTTTACATACCGTGATACCTTTAATAATCCACTTTCTAATGATTTTATTTATTTTATTTATATCTATTATTTTAACATTTAACTTATGAAACTATAATTTTACATTTTTTGATTTTATTTGTTCTATCGATAGCTTATGTTGACGTTTACACAATTATGTACCAATACCCTAAATAACATTTAATAATTGTTTAAGCTGATGTCTTTGGTTGCGATTACACATGTTACACATAGTGAAAAGCCTGAGTGGCTATTCATAACATTATTAACAGTATATATCAGTAAGTAATGTATTTTACATTGTATTGAAACTGAAGTGCTATCTACTGAATCATTATTCACTGCAATCAAGCGAATATTACCATCCGAAGTGCATATAATACATGATTCACGAGTACGAGCAGATTCTTTTGAATGAACATAGTCCTCAGATCTAAATTAACAGATATAAAACGAATAAAAATGTTTTAAATAAAGGAATGGGAAGATAAATATTGTGTAAGACAAACGTATACGTTTAGAACTATATTTCTTACTCATGAATACATAAGCAGTAACTAAAAATCGCTAAATAAACCTGGTACATGTACTGCTTAGAAGAAAAAAAATAATTCAAACCAATGAAAGAGGTGATACTTAGCAATCAAAACTGATCATTAAACTAAATATCATCTAAATGAATTGATCCAAATTTCTATGCAATTGTAGATTGATCAATTAACGTTAGTCTTAGAGAGAAATATAAACAAAGTGTTAAATGAACTGAATTTCTATTAACACAGATGAAATAAATTATTCAATATTTAAAAAGAGAATACAATGACCAGAAAAGTCGTACATCGACTAGTAACCGACTTTTTTTATTTTGTGTATTTCAGTGACCGTAAGTTTCAATGTTGCACAAAAATCACATACGTACAAGTGCATGTTACTGGGAGATAATCACACTTCGAAAGAACAAGTACATTTTCGCGTCTACCATGTATCAACTTTGTACTACATACCCTAAAAAGTGGCTATTAGAAAGAAAGTCGAAATACATTTTGCTAGCAACTTTATGGTACTTATCGGTTATGTCATTTTGCCCTACTACTCCTGTTGTATACTGCAGCCGATAGCCTAATAAGATTTTGTTTTTAAAAAAAGCTGTGACAAGGAAAATCAGTAAACTGTACAATTAAATATACTGACATGATGCTCAAAAACTAGGTCTAACAATCAGGCCTTAATTACTTGGGGAGTGAGTGACCTAAAAACTAATTTCCTCTAACCATGGATAACAATTCATCATGTTTATTTTATGCATAACCATGTCATTTCATTACATAAAAAATTAATTATATTCAGATCACTAGCTGATCTAAGTTTGACAACCATCGCAAACCTGGAAGCACTGGACAGTTGTTATTGTTTGACAATCCTAAATTCACATACTTTAAACGATGTACTTTGCCCTTAACCTGGCCATTTTTCGGATTATTAATTTGGATATATAACTGTAGAACCTGAAGAGAATTTATCGAAAATATTCTTCGTTCAAATATTAGTCTTTTATTATGAGAATACCTTAACCCTAAACCTGAACATAATGGGTACACTTATATTGTTCTTTTGATGCGGTTTAACAAAATATTAATCACGAATATTACTTAATAATTGTATATTGAATGCAATATTAAAGGTTTCTATTTGCTAATATAACAGCTAAATCTTTTGAAATAAAAAACCCCAGAAAAACCAGACCTTTTTATATTAAATAATGAACCCACTTAGAACTCTTGTCTGAAATCTTACGACTTCGTTGATATTTCGTTGGCGAATGACACCAGTCCTACAAAAACGAAATGAATAAAATAAATATCATGAATTTTGTCAAAACACATGACAAAAAACTATATAATTGGAAACTTAAAGATGTATGTTCAACATTCGGTGACTAAATTGTAAAAACAGAACTATTTTGTAAGTGTTAAAGATATAATTTGTTTGACAAAATCAAAATAAGGTGAAATGAATGAAATAGCAGGTGCATGTCAACAACTGAAAGTTATACCACATTGATGAAAACACCTAAGAGAACTAAGAGATTATTTCAACAGGTAAACAATCTTGCATTGCTACTTGTGGGATTTATAAAACTGAATTTTGTCAGCGCTTTATAAAAAAACTGTATACATTATCTGCATACTTGAAGTCGATGATAAGTGAATCCTTAAGTAGGGATTCAGATTAACATATCATTTTTTTAAAAGTAGAGGGAGTGGAGTCTTAATGAACGCCACTTGAGGCATATTATTGTCTATCAGTAAACAAACAAACTATGATTGACTACATAATTATTGTACTAAAATACCAGCAAGACTAATTAAAATGTTCCAAACATAAATGTGAATTACCAAAGCAACAGCTGTTATATCCGGTAGCAAAGGTAGTTTAACTATTAAAGAAGAAGTAGATAGTTTCCATATTTCTACAGGACTCTTACGAATTGCTACACCAACGTATTGGCTGGAAATATTTAAAAGAAATAAAAAAAGAATTTTTAACTTAATTTCTAAAGTTAAAAACAATTTCAATAAATCTAAAAAGTCATCTCACAAGTACTTTTATTTCGAACTATTAGTGTCACCGCTGAAATTCAGAGTTATAAGAAACATTAAAAAATAATAAATTAACTTATTTACCAGGTATTTGGGTACAACTCACACTCTAAGTGTGACGGTCAATGATACTACCCCTATGCTTAAACCGAAGTAGGCGAAGAGTTCAAACGTGAGACAGTGGCCGAACGTTAAACGCATTAACGACTAAGCGATTGCTCTACTTAACATTGAATACTGAACAAAACTGTTAGTGATATGATGGAAAAAATACTGTGATAAGAAGAATATTCTGTATGAAGCATAAGACCCAACGTTAAAAACTGAAATGATAGAGGCTTAATAATAATCCTATAAATAAATCGAACCTCATCTCCTATATATGACCACCTTTGACCTAACCACTCCTATGAATCCAGTGTTCATCTTGCTGTGCTAATGAGGTATGGCAACCTGGGCCGATGCATACATGTGCCTGGTCCTACGTTGTAGCTGACTGACTGACTGACTGATATTATTCACAAAGTACACAATGTTTCAAAATTTCGCATAATTGAATGGCTTTTTAACTATTCTTTAACATCAGTTTCATTGAAAACCACTTGTTAGAAACATGTTTTCGAAAATGAGAGAAAAATGCTATAATTTAACTAAATATACCATTGTATAACATGAGCAGTCATAACAGTTTAACTAGCTCTTAAAACAAATACAACTTAGTAGTATAGGAAATATAGTAGCAAACATTTTGCATCCTGTCAAAAACAATCAAGTAGGAGTTTGTGAACTCAACTTTTAGGCATAATTTCTTGTATGAAAATTAGTGATGCTGCCGATGTGCCCGAACCAAATTGAGTGAAGCAATGCACGAGTTCGTAACCCAACAATTCAGAGTCAAGTATTTTAATCACTAAATAATCGTTCTTCTATTGTGTTACTTACAAACTCTCATATTTACTAAAACTATATTTTTGTAGATGAAGAAGAGACAATATACTTCAAAGCCTTAGTATTGAATATAATTTAAATTTGGTCTAAAATGACAAATTGCAGAAATTAAACAATATAACACGACAAATAAACAGAGAAATACAACAAATGAGTAACTGCAAGAAAAAGGAATGATTAAACATTCACTAAATTATAAGCTTATTTCAACAGTTAACAAACTATGCGTAGTAGTTTACAAAAACTCCGCCTGGAGTCCCTCCAGGGGCTACTGCCGGTCCCAAGCCCGGATAAGGGAGGAGGGTTGGGCAAGCGGTTAGCGACCCCATCCCGTAGAAAACTAACTCGCTAAAAAAACGCCAACCGAAAAAAAAAGTAAGCAGTTTACACAACAAAATTGTTCACTATAGGCTGGTTTCATCCTTTTTTCCAGAATTAATTGCAGAAAACTACAAAATAAAGATGCCCAAAGATTATAATTTTTTATTGCCGATTGAATTTTACTAGTCTAAGAATTAAGGTGAAACTGCCAAGTCAAGCTATTTGACATCACAATATTCTACATTCAATCTATTACCACTTACTTGAAAAGTAAACGATAGTTATTTTGAATTTTACCTTCGATACCACATTAACAGCTAATTAACTGTATTTAATATCCAGTTAGTCAATTTGATTTATATTCACAGTATAGACATTTCTATGATACTGGCTAACTCGACAACGTTAAGGTTTGTTCTCACCTTCAATCAACCAATTATATACAGAATAAGATATCTATTTATCTTTAAAAATATACAACATGAGTCCTAAAAGATGCAAACGGTTCAATATTTACTAATAATAATCAGAAACGGTAAAAATACTGATTCCCATAAATTATTATTTACTTTAAGTGGCTAACACAAAGAATGTCAATTGGTCCTTCAAAAAGATTTTCTTGATCGTTGGATCCAGATAAAAGTTGACTACCGGGAACACTGATTCCTATGCGAGGACCTGTCTTGTCAATATTTTGATTTGAAATATCACGAAATATACGCATATAACCCGTTGATAAGTCCAGTGTAGTAACAAAATTTCTTCCTATTGTATTTGTTCTATTCGATGAATTTTCAGTAAGAGAACTTTGGTGACCATCTTTGGATTGCCAACCATGAACAATTAAACCTAATGAATATTCATATGATGATGGTCTCGAAGAATCTTCACTGAATTGTTTATTTTTATAAATTGTTCGAGGTATTGCTATCCATTCAATTCCTTTGATAGGTACCGGTAGTACACGATATTCACGCCATAATATAGCTGATGATACATCCCAAATCTAAAAATAACACAAATAAACATGTATTTATATCAAATGTTATAACACTGAAAAACTGAAGGTGACAAAATTATAGTAATTATGACTATGACAAAGTTATTGGCGTTTTTTAAGCAAGATTTTTTCTCTAAGAGATGGGGTTGCCGATCCCATGTCCAACCCTCCTTTTTTACCAGAGCTTGGGACTGGTAGTAACTCTAGAAGGGCTACAGGCGGATGGAGAAGCTCTGGAAGAGGTGGAACCTTCCAAGTACCTGGGAAGTATCATCGATGAACAAGGAGGATCCGATGCAGACGTAGACGTAAAGGCGAGGATCGGCAAAGCAAGAACAGCATTCCTAAAGTTAAAGAAAATATAGATCTCAAAACAACTATCAGCCAACATCAAAGTCAGGATATTCAATACGAACGTCAAAACAGTTAGTTCTACTGCACGAAGCTGAAACCTGAAGAACTACTACAGCCATCATCAAAAAGGTACAAGTATTTATAAACAATTGTCTGCGTAAGATACTGAATGTCCATTGACTGGACACCATCAGCAACAGCCGACTATGGGGGAGAACACACCAACTTCCAACTGGGGAAGAAATTAAGAAAAGTTGTTGGAAGTGGGTAAAACAAACATTGAGGAAATCATCAAACTGCATCATGAGGCAAGCTCTGACTTGGAATCCTGAAGGGAAACGGAGAAGAGGAAGGTCAAAGAACACACTGTATCGAGAATCGGAAGTAGAAATGAAAAGGATGAATGGCAACTGGAAAGAACTGGGAAGGATCGCCAGGACATTTTTCGGTGGATAATTCTGATGGGAGCCTTAAGCTCCTCCCCAAGGGGTAACAGGTGTAAGTAAAAGGTTGAAGGACAATCAAGAAACCCGAGTATTTTGTAACTTTCTCACAGTTAAAAACATATGACGTGAACACTGATTAGTCAGAAAGCATACAAAAAGATCCCTAAAAATTGTACGATGACATTGTACCAGATACTAGTTAAATAATGAAACGTGAACCACATAAAGTAAAATAATGTAACTAAGTAATCATTGAAGTACATGAAACGAAAACTGAAAAAGTGCAGTCACCTGGATGTCACCACGGTTATTCCCAACAGACACTAATGGACCACGAATTGAGTCTACCATTGAAAGTCCCATCAGATTCGGTGGACATACGCGACACAGTGTTGGCTCTGATCTACTTGGAGAGTATAGGCCATTTAATTCGAGATACAACTTTATTGGAGGCCTACAGCAAAAATTTAAACACCAAGCGTATAAAGCGTTAAATTATCTCAAATATAAACTATTGGTTTCCTTTGCAGTACTCACCTAAAATTTACCCAGATTTAATGAAATACATTTGAAGTCATGATAAAAAAACCTTAAAATGTAACGGTTAGTATTTCGCCATTAGACCTTGAAATTTTCACTATGGTCAAAGCTACTTACCCTTTTTACAAACTCACATACAAAGGCAATTTTATTTAATTATTTGTTAAATATGTGTGACGCCACATTCCTAACTGCCTTATCAGATCACCTTAAGTCCATGATTGTATAGTATAAGTGTTTATCTTCTTAAGGTAGATATCAAAAGATTAGTACCAAGACTAGAATTTCTTAGCGAATAATCGTGAATTGATGGCTTCAGTCATCTAGTCAGTAACCTGTAACGTACCACTCAACACACGTGTATCTGTTCAACTTGCCACACCACATTAGTACAGTGAGAAAATTTGTCAAAGCAAACGCTAAAATAATAAAAGTAGTAACATTGTCAACAGTATTATGAAAAATTATGTGAAAGAATAGAAAGTATAAAAAGATTTCGGGACTTTGAATATAAGGGGAGAAGGAAAGCGAATAAACTTGAGCCATCGAGAATGATTCTGAGCCATGTCAACCAACGACTCCAACCACTGGTTATGGTAATCATGCAGACTCCAGCCAGGTAGTTTGCACCTACCTACATGACCCAGTTCAATTGTCAATGACTTTATGAACTGATGGGACTTTTTGGTTTGGACACCCCTTAGCTTACTTCCATCTTATTCTTACACCAGCCATTATCACGCATCCAGGTAGCCAGTAGATGGGCATACGCAATACGTGTCCTAAGCACCTCACATGACCAGGATTCTCTGTCTCATCAACTGACCTGCAATCCTCATACAGTACTGTGTCTAACCTCAGAAACACTAAAATACAAGAGCAATGGTTTGAAGCCACTTATAATCCAATACTAGTAATCTACACGTACTTTCTATTTTTAAAGGACTACTTTCATAGCCACCAAATGCCTTGACATGGTTGAGGGTGGAAAGAGTCCATTCTCCCTTTCGAAATGCTCTAACATGGCCACGCGTATACAGCTACTGTGAAAGAAGTTCTACTCATCGGCTTTTCGCAGCGGTGGTGTTGTTTACGAAATTGAGGGGACAAAAAAAGAATGTCCGACGTTTTAACCGGGTTAGTGGATACAGTGGGAAGTGCTACAAATCCGCTCACCATATATCACTTTGAAAAGCTCCTTTTATGTGAGTTTATTTGAGGACCCTGTGGCATCTTTCTCTGGTCTTGCTGGCAATGGTGTCGCGCTTAGCGCTAGAGCTGGGGCAGCACTGACCGGATGGATCCCCATTAACAGCAGGTTATTTACTGTTAGATTAGAAAGTTCCATCAAAGTGAGAAGGAATCGGTGTGAGAAACATGTCTTCTCGTCCTCTGTCTACGCTCCAAAAGACTGCAGCCCGGATGCGATTAAGGATGGGTTTTACCATCAATTAATTGTCCCTCTACGGAAGTGCGTTCAACAGATATTGTGGTACTAGCCGGAGACTTGAATGCTCAGGCCAGGCGTCTAGGCACAGAAGAGAGTCGTTTATGCGACCGATGGGGACTTGTTGGTCGTAGGTCAGATAAAGGTGACCATCTACTGCAACTGTGCGAAAACTACAATCTGCTTTCGGCTAGCACTAACTACCGAAACAGTCATCGCTGATGTGCTAGCTGGCTTCCTCCCTATGAATCTCAAGCCTGAACTCAGATTGATCACATCGCAATCAGCTACCGCCGGCGTGGTTGTGTACAAGACTGCCGCTCCTTTTGGAGTACTTATCTGAACTCTGATCATGCCCTAGTCTGCGCCAATCTTACCTTACTTTTCAGTGACCAACGAAGTGACCGCCACCAAAGGATTGATGTCAGCAAGCTGGTTGCAACTTCTATTGCTAGTAAGTATCGAACTGAGCTAGCTTCTAGGCTAGCTACCATCCCACCGAAAAGTATAGATGAGTATTGGTTGCAATCGCGTGACGCCATGAAAATGGCGAGTAAAGCCGCTTGCGGCTTCGCGAAACGTCCCGCTTATAAGCACTTGATTTCTTCAGGTTCCTTACAACTCGTTGAAACCCGTCAGTTTACTCCGAGTGACCGTGAGTTTGACCACAAGCGAAGGCCGTTACGTAGTGAAATCGGGCAAAGCTTGCGTAAGGACCGAGAAGCCCGGTGTTCGAAACGTGCTGACGAGTTGGAAACAACAGTCGCTTCCGGTAACTGCCGGAAGGTATTTCAACTCATCCAGGTTATTATTTACTATTTGAACACATAAATATTGGTACAAGAGGGCACCAAATATATATGCGCCACACAAAACAATGAGAATTCGGAGAGAAAAAAAGAAGGTAAGGAGCGTAAAAAAAAGAACAATAACGAACAGATTAGTGTAAGGTAGTGTAATAATAATAATAATAATAATAATAATAATAATAATAATAATAATAATAATAATAATAATGGGGGAACGGAAAGGTACAATCAGAAGAAATCTTTCAGTTAACGATTCTCTGTGTCCGATTATCGTTGTCTCCGAAGGATTGTTGACATCCAGTGGCGACACCATGTTAGTAATGCAGAGGTCCAGCACCGTGTATTCGGGCACAGCGATGATAACTTAGTTGGTCACGATCTTGAAACGTCGGCTTCGGTGGCCTGGACATTTCCTATGAATGTCATCCCAAAGAACTCCACGTCGTGCATTATTTACCGACTATGGAATTTGTTGGAAAAAGCGGAGAGGTGGTCAGTGTACGATATAGTGTCTTGGTATGAAGGAATGCTGTACAGGACCGGCTTCCGTTGGTCCTTCACGACTCCCTGGCTGGGGGCCGAGAGACGGTGAGACACAGTGGCTTGAGACGTTATCAGACATGGATCGGAGTATAAACCAGTGGCGATCCTGTTGTAACTTCGTTTTACTTTTTTCGTATAAGTGTGAGTAATTTCTTTATCCGAAAGAATTCTTTCTGGTTGTATCTTCCCTAAATGAATCGCTTCTCCAATTATTATTATTATTATTATTATTATTATTATTACTTCACTTTCCTACACTAATTTCTGTCAGTTGTTTATCTTTTATTATAGGCACTTTATATTCTCTATCTCTTCACAACATCACTGTTACTGTGTGGTGCCCCCTTTGTACCAATGTTTGTGTCCAAATAAATAAATATAGCCAAAAATTAAACAGGAGCGAACTTCTGAGTAGCATACTTGTCCTTGATTCCGCAGACGGACACAGCGCCTAAAAGTGATGCAACTCGGCAAAACCCAACCGGACTTTCGGGACCCATTCTGAGATTGTATAAGGCGCTGAAATTTAACAATTCACGTTAGGTTCATGATGGAATTTTTAGTATCCAAGCTGAGCAACGAGTCTAGTTATTTCAGGTTTTAATACTCCAAACAATGGATAAATCTTATAGGTAAATATGGATAGTGGCTAGCAGTGGGATCCGGGATGTGTGTCTCGTCTTATTTTGGACCCGTCAGCTGGGCGTGCCTGCATCCCAGAGTTGATGTTCACTCCGGAAATCGAACCCAGTACCGTTTGGTCAAAATGCCATCATGTTATTCTCTTAGCTACCGAGTCCAGATAGCCGGGAGGGAACACCAACTCTGGGATGTAGGTACATCCAGCCGACGAGTCTGTAACAGGATGAAACGCCCATTCTGGATTCCACTGCTAGCCACCATCCATCTTTGCTTATAATGCTTGTGACTCGAGGCGATTTCGAGGCAATCCGCACAGGATGCACATATGCTAATCAATTGCAGTCCTAAACATCAATGAGAATATTCAAACAAACAATACAAAAATGAATTTAATGGATAAATTGTTTACATCTGGGCTGCACATATTAGTTTTAAATCTGGTTATCGATTCAATTATACTAAATCAATTTTGAATTACATACTGCACTTCATGAGTTTCGGTGAACTCAATAAGTTACATCAACGGTGGGAATGAAGAAGAGAGGCGGAATTAGACAGCTGAGAAGTGGTTTTGTGACCTTATCCTACCTGTGGTGATTTTGTATTTATCTTTCAGGATCTTAATAAACCCAGATATACTCTTCTCTAACAAATAATCCCAGAACATAGTGCTGTCTGCTTATCCTATAGCGGTCAGTACATATTCTAATATTAGACATTAGGTGACTAAAACAGAAATAGTAATCAATGTTTAAATAAAATACTTTAAGGTATTACTTACTTATTTACAACAGGTGTATGTGGTAGCAGATCTGAAAGGCTCCAAATTGGTCTCACCTCTTCATCACAAAAAGTTGAGTCTCGAACAGCTCGCAGTTGCCAAAACTTTGAAAATCAATAGATGGTTAGATATATATCCACACACGAACTAACAGGGGATATTGAGATAAAACCACTATGACTACTACACTCTCAAAACCTCATTGTATATTGGTGGTGGATGTTACATAATAGTTTAGTGTATACCGCATAATGTTACGTACATAATTTTAGCCAAGACCTAGTCTTATTTACATAATTAACAGAACCTACAGTTTTCCATAGACTATAAGTTAAAATATGTGCTTAAGCATTATTACAATCAAAAAATAACATGAATTCAGTCTTTTAACTCCAGTGTGATAATGAACTGGGCTTGAAAAGTTATAAACTTAAAGTAAATCAGAAAAAAAAACAATTATAATTGTCTAAAGATGTAAACAGTCCTTTTACACTTTATAAACACCTGAAGTGATTTCCACATTAAATTGTGTATTAATCTAAGCACTAATGAGAATGTTGGAAATAGTTTCAGCCATCCTCACTAAAGTATCACGATTGCATGACCATGAACCATCTTATAACTACTGGCAAAATTGATAAGTAGAACAGTTGCAAGACAAGCAGCAATCATCTGATAAGTCAAGAGAAACTAAAACTATCTCGTAAATTAATTTGGTTTTAGATTTACAGGATCTGACTAGGAATCATTGTGTTACAACACGTCAAACCACAAAGTAAAAACTATCAAAAGTGAAATGAAAATTTTACAAATTTTACTAAGAGTTACCTGGAAACGCCCATCAATTGAAGCTACGACAATATTCAACTCATTCATTTGGTCCACAGAAAAATCAACATGATGTACTTGTTTTGGGCGTCTAGAAGAAGCAGCAGTTGCAACAAGAACATAAGTGCAGCTGTTATCAGAGTGGATATCAGAAGATTCCTTACTAGGTTTTCGCAGTAAATGAGAAGGATGAAGAGAAGGATCCGCTGCTAAAGCAAGACCACGACAAGCATATACGCTTAAATTACCATTTTCATGTAGGCAAATGATGACATCACGTTGAGTGCAAGAATAAACCTGTAAATTAGAAATTTGCTTACAAATATAACCACACATATTCCTTATTCTAACAGTCTCTAGCTATGCTTTCCACGTCAAAGCCTCTCAGAAAACAAAATTTTGCTCTTATGCATCCAGACTGCGACATTTACAGATAACGAAAATTATAAATTACGAGAAATATGGCGAATATACATTCATAAATTTTCATGTATTGAATATCTGTCTCTGTAGTGATAAATTTATGTGTAGTGATAAGCATGATGAACAGTAAATAAAATAATGTATTGGTGCGTTGTTTTCTTTAAAAAATGGATTATTCAAAGCCACCCAAGATTCTTCAAGAGATCAAAATGACCCCTCCTGCGATGAACAAAAGAAATACTCAGTAATTTGTACTTTTCTCGAATATTAAATACTAAAAATGAGTTCCGTGGATAAGCTTTCATATATTTGAGAAGGATGGGACTATAATAGATGTTTGACATTCCGTAAAATATAACTACTGTTAATCGAGGGGTTATGCTAAGATATAGGAGAAATCTAAGTTTATGGGCGCCTAGAAATGGTCTGCCTCAAAACTACGAAACTAAAAGATCACTTTCAGGATCGTTAATACTCATAAATTAAATTGACTCACACGTGAGAAAGAAGGCCAAGAAGGATCTAGATAAACGACATGAAGTGGACGGATCAATCCCAGATTCACAATAATAATCTCCCTCCTAAAAACAAACAGCGCACAGTCCTTGTGATATCGATGGTAAGTAACCTGCAAACATGTTCTAATAAATGTTGTTCTCGCATTATCACTCGAAGAATCCCATGCCCTGAATAAAAATTGAAATAGTAAAAGCTTTGAATCAAAACAAACAGTAAAGTTTGTTTAATAACTGAATGTTCACATACAATGTTTCTACAAGTAAAATTGGACAGTATTTTGCAGATGTGCACAACTAAGAACGTGATATACTTTCTTCTATTATGTACTTAACACTAAAGAGCGAAGGCAAGTTGGCTTTCGACAGCAGCTTCCTCGTAAGAAATTGACAATGGAATTGTTTCTGCTACTAATAACAACTTACTTATGGACACCGCAGAAATCATTATTTAAAATCTAAAGACAAATGAGCTGATATTATGAAATTAAACTTTTCGACCCGGTACTAAGTTCAGACAGAAGGATTAACTTAGAACTTTTAGATTACTCTCGTTTCGTTTGATGAAACAGTGATTCAGTCATTAATACATTCAACTTTCACCCAATACGTCTCAGGTTTGAATCTGGCATTACTCATTTCTGTTTCGTGAATCACGAAGTATCACCAGCACTCACATTTGAAATGTGGCTTGAAGCCAGGTGTATGGATCTGTATCTAGCAAATAACTTAATTAAAGTGTACATAGAAAAAAATATCAGTAGAAATAGTTTACTGTTATTTGTGCAGTGTTTAAATGACTTGTACTTGGTACTTAAACCCCAGATCTGACGACACATGGCGAAAAACAGAGTGATGATAAGGATTTCTGTAACCCTCAAAATTAATCAAAATGACATGTGAATACACTACTTTTCATGTGATTAATTTAGTCAGATTAGTAATCATTTGATATGAATAGTATTTAACATTAACCATTCAATAACTTACCGCGTGAACACGCAATATCATAAAATTCAGCTTTCCTTATTAAGATGTGAATACACGTCAAAGACAATCGGAAAAAAATAATTCTTTTACTCGCAGTTTAAACAACAAAGTCATTACTTGTCTTATAAACAGCCAAGCATTATCTATTAACCCAGCAACTTCAAAGCCATTCTGTTGAAACATCAAATATGGACTAGGGAATGCTAACCTCACTTGCTTATGTTACATGATGAAAAATAATTCTTCACACTAAGCAATTAACAATATCAATAGTCGAAACAATTATATTGTCTATTTCCTATTTATTAAAATAAATGCTAGACTAACAACGTGAGGTAGATATCCACTAACTGCAGTTGCCGTACCTTATAACCTTACGAAGACAGTGAATAAATAGGAGCAAGGATAGGAATTAAAATAACGATACAGAAAGTAGCAGAAAACCAAATACGAACAAAAGCCAAATAAGGGAAATTAGAGAATATAAATTTCGGGATAGTACTGTTTTCTAGGAAAAAATAAATCGAGGAACGAAGCCACTTACCCAGACGTGAGGTTCCGAGCCGTCATCTAAGGTCTTCAACCATAGTCGACAATTATCTTGTGAACACCAACCAAAATACATGACCTTACCAACAAGACTCCCATAAGTAGTCATTGACTTTTTGGATAGATGTTAGCTTATCGTTTGACTACTCTGAATCACTTTTAGACCACCAGCCTCATAAATTACCTTGCCACTCCTACATAAAGATTTGCAGGTCATGCACGTTGTAGAGCTTGACTGGTAAATGAGATGAATAACAAAGCGTGTTAAGAAGATCAAATAAGACTGTATTAAAAGGCAGTGGTTTTGGTGGCCCCAGATGTGACTCCAAGTAGATCGTTTGCTGTTTGTTAACGACTTATACATATCGTCAATCCTCATATATAATAATCGACTTAAATTGCGTTTGTGAAAAACGGAATTGAATACTCCAAATACGAGAATGGATTTCGTATACGTATATTTCATACAATCATTGACCCAGACAGACGATCAAATAAACAAAGCTAAACAAAAATGATGCACGGTGGAGGCGTGTGAGCCAACTCAAGTTAGTCAAGCGTCAATCGATGTTTATAGTCGAACACAAATAAGTTACAGACACGTGATGAGTAGGATAAGAAGTATAAACACACACGCTCACACAAAAAAGTCAGGACTAATAATCGAATAAGTGACAAGGTCAAAATGTGGTTTAAGAAGAATAGATTGATCTATCCCAAGGCTAGAACAACCTACGTGGGCTTGACATAGTATCAGCCCCTACAGCAGGGCACAGAACACTTTCCAGGGTAGTTTTAAGAAAGCTTTCCTCAAACTAGTATGTGATGGCCTCTAATGCTATTTATCGCGACCTTATGACCAAGCACACATTCATCCTCTCATATATGACCAATACTCATTATGTGACAGCTGATGATATTAGGCAGTCGTCCACTTAAAACTTAATTTTAAACCAAAATACTTTGTTAAATACCTTCCAGAGTTCCCCGGGCTGACTTTTTGTTCACTGGACGATAATTTTACTGGAGTTTCTCCTGATGTTGTCCCATGTGAGTTTATTTCATTAACAAGACACTTGTTACTACCTTCAACTATAAGTTTTAATATGTAGTGTTAACAAACCAGCCTCAGAGATGTTTAGTTTCCTGCCTTTTCCAAAGGCACACGAAGTGACGTTGAAATTTTCCACAATGAAATATTCCTTTGAGCAAACTTAAGAAGTAAGTAAGTAAGTGGAAAATCAGTTACAAATCATCTTTGAATTAGAGAATATATCCAAAGAAAAAGAAACCACATCGTCTCCAAAAGAGTACTTCCACAATCTTGTTTGGGTTTGTGTGTTCCAGATAATGAATCTACCACGAGAGTGGAGAACAGCTAACAAATCACGTGAAACCCACTGATTTGGTAGCCATAATATATCTAAACTAGTAAGCAGAATGCGAAAACTAACCCAAAACGAGTGAATCTGGCTCACGAAACTCTGAGGTCGCAGAGGACGTAGTAGCATCCCAAATAATTATTACTCCAGACGCGTCAACACTGGCAAGTTTTAATTGAAAAGGGTTTTTATCATCATGATAGTAATTTTCAGGAGCCCACAAAACATTTACTATGTTAGCGCGGTGGCCCTGAAGTGACTGCAAAGACTGGAATTAGGTTAGGAAAATCATTGAAGTCTGTTACTTTACTGAAACAAGGGTCAACTATAAGTATGTTGGTGAAACTGCCAAGAGCAATAAGTCCTTTCCAACCGCTAGAACGTGGGCAAAATTAAAATACTGGATGAAAAGCATTTTACTAATCAACAGCTATACTGGCTTCTGTGCTGACACCGACCGATAGTACCCTTGGTCTCATGACACCCACGTATTCATCAAATAACCATTACAAAGTGTTTCGGAACACTTCATGCGAAGCGCTATCGAGACGACCTTCAGGCTTGAGTCTCTAATCTTAGTCTTAATCTGTCTCAATTAGTAACGATAGGAGGTCAATCGACCTATGTAAGTCTTTGAAATTTGTGATAATGTCTAGATCCAATCTCACTTTGAAAGTATCGGCGTAAGCTACTGCTATTACATGTTCTAGTAGATAATCCAAGTAATTCACTACTCGATATCAGAAACGAAACTCCAGACCTAGACCTCTTGACCTCGGTTTTCAGAGTTTCTTAGGATTTCCTAACAGATATATTAGTACCAGAATCATCGTTCATTGTACGGTAATTCAGTATTAAATCACTCTATAACTTGTGGTAAGATAACGAAAATAGTTCGGTGAGTCAGTCTGTTTTGATAAGTTAAATCGCTGAGACGTTTCATCACTTTTTTTCATCTCCACTGAACTCTTTATAGCGTATTAGCCTCATGTTTGAAACAGGGACCAGCTGCTTGATTCCAATATTCTTAATAAGGTCTCAAAATCGTCGGGAAAGAATAGAATAGGTTGGTTTGTTACTGTTGGTAGGTCATTTACATGAAGCATAAAGATGAAAAGGCCCAATCATTTTACTCTGAAGGACGCTACTTTTTATAAAATACCATGTTGATAATGCCTCGTTTACCCATACTCATAGTCTCCTATCGCTGAGAATGTCTCTTATCTAGTTTCTGATGGGACGATGACGGTTTTATCCGGATCTTCGTGTACGACTTTAAAGTTGCGACCACCAACACCCAGTGATATTTCTCTGTTTCGAGGGAATTTTCTCATGTTTATGTTATACAGTTCGGTATTTGTCTTGCTATTTTTGAAGCGATTACGAGTTCACCTAGTATGCGAACGGAACAAAGACTCTGTGACCAAAGACCAGTAAGTTAGCCATTTCGATGCGTCCCAGCCCCGCTAACTAGAGAGAAAAGTTGAAGTTTGGACGAAGAAATGTATTTCTCAAGCAGCTAGCAACACGAGTAGACTTGCCGCACTGGCAAATCCTTCGTAGAAGTACCCAAGTCGCCAGTGCAGCTACAACCAACGTTCTTACTGGATAATGCCAGAACGCCTGTTTTCTCCCAGATCAGATATGTCTTACTGAAAAGCACTCCAATATCTTCGCCACGAAGTTATATAAACCAAGTAATCTCTTTACACTCGCTTCCCGTTGCTTCAGTATGGTTTCAGGTTTATAGCAGTGTCCAAGGGGTTGCAGTCTAGCCACTCAATTGCACTAATTTCAACCAGTTTGTTAATTATTTGTGGGTTTGTATATCCTACCGTTTGAGTGAGTGCGGTTGTCTCAGGAGAGTAGGAATCCTGGATATTAGTTGTCATCACGTTACCAGCAAGGTGGCTGGTTGGTTGTAAAAACAATAAAGCGATGACTCACGTGCTAAGAGAAGAGAATGGTTCCAAAATTAATAAATGGGTTAACTAGCTGGTAATGTGTGAGGGGATGGAATTCAAAAATGGAAGTGAAGATGCAGATTATAATAAGAGATGTTTGAAGTATTTAATGATGTGCGGTAATGATTGCTGTGCTAATTTATGAGACATGCATTGGACATAGCCGGTCTGCGGGGGAGATGGCAAATCATGGGTGAGAACGTGTTTTTCAAATCTCCTCTTAGGGCTACCCACTGATGAAGCTATGGTCACTTCTGCTGGGTAAAATACTCTGAAATGGGGGCAACTCTTAGTCAGGAAACGTGAAAACGAACCTGGTCGTTCGCTCCTTGACATGCAATCTTTCGAGGGCTGTCTTGATCAGCGTGATGACGATGTTCTGGCAATATCTTCGTGATGGGATGGCCTAGCATACTTATTGTATTGTAGGTTATTATCGAGTCATCTCATATTCCCCTGCAGCTCAACAAGAATAATCTCAGGTTTTGGGGTCTGTCCTCGTAAGATTAACATTTTAAACACATCGCCAACTTAGTTACTTGTCTTTGTCCTCGATCCAAGAGATCTATATCTCTTTTAGGCAGAGGGGACGCAAAGACACTGCGAACCTTGAGATGGGTCCATGCGTGCGTTCTAACTAGTGTCAGGAATATTTTCTGAGTGATTGTGCTAAATTGTCTACGCACAAGTTGGAGAGTTGTGTTTGCCTTGGCTGCATCTCCCATATATTTTGACCTGGTACCTAAGCCCTCCGATGTTACATGCCCGAGATCACGAAGACAATTAGGAGCGGATTTCCATAGAGATTATAGGTGCTTTGTATCAAATGAGACAGAGTGTTCTTGACATATTTTGATTGGTTAATTTTAACTCACTGTCTACTGCGTGTCCGTTGACTGTTATAAGGTTCTTTAGAAGCTAAAATGAATAACTGTCACTCTTTGTGTACCTACAAATCTTTGCGTCATCTGCATAGATCAGTGCCGCCGAGCTAATTTTATCTAACAGATCTCTAACGAAGACCAAAAACATGAATGGATCTAAGATTTTTCTCTGTGATGTTGAGACCCCTCAACTTTTATGTGCTCTATTTACCTTGGTACGAAGCATCCTGTTTTCTAAATAGTCTAGGAGCCACGAAAGTCATCTTTCCAACCTTCACCATGAGATATACATGAGGTACTGTGCCAAAGGCTTTGGGGAAATCAGAGAATATTACATGAAACAGTATCAGGTGGTTCCAGCAGGTCGTCCAGATTTCCCATGCTTTGAGTTGATCGGATGCTAGCTCCTATCCATCACTACAGAATTTGGATTTGCATCCACTATTCAGTGACAAGTAAAAGCTACGTCAGAATTCTTTAGGGAGTTATTTCGTATGAGCCATGCTCTGTGTTTGGCCTGTAGCAAGAATTCTGTGCCTTGCTTAATCTAGGGTCTTCACTTTCCGGGTATATAGTTGTTGATCAAGATTTAGTCAAAACTTTGGCTCAAGTATTCATTTACTTCCTAATTTTATGTTGGCATTATCTTTCTTATTATTTTACACTGAATGTTAGAACTTTGTTTGTAAAGACCAAATGATTTCTCTACCCTCACTTCTTGTTTTATTGACTTGATTCCGGGGCTCTACTGGGGTCTATTCAGGATTAATCTAGCCGCCCGAAAACACGACTACCAATGTTTTTGACAGCTACATATGTGTTACCTAAAGTACACTCAAGTCAGTACGTTTTCAGGACCCAGTAGTTATCATATCGATTGTCTGCTATTCGAAAATTACAGAGTTCAAATTCAGGAGAACGAAGAGAAGATAAAGGTTGCGTGAAGTAAATGAGTTAATTACTTGGACAATATGAATGAATAAGAGCGTGAAAATAGCGGGGATTACAAAAAGCAAATTGAGAAGAAATAGGCCGGTGACATATGACGATAATTACAGTGGATGCATTTCAATATACGCATCGGATATGAATACTTCAGTCAGGAGAAGGTATGAGTATATGT